GGAGGAGATTAGGCGAGGCGGTCAAACGACAAGCAAATCATCATCGTCAGCAGTAGCAGCAGAAGACCAGAAATCTCACTCAGCAGTTGGGATTTATTCAACCATTAGCAGATTTTGTTCGTCAACCGTAGATGATGAATCTGTTTTGTGCGATAAAGAGCAGCCCGTAATTCTTTCATTTGTTTAGTGCATCAATCTGCCACCACCCACACACTTATCATCTAGATGATCGCAAATTATTTTCAGAGTTCACTTCCGATAGTCATCGTTTTTTTCTACTCATCTCTAATGATTGTGTGTTCTTTTGTAATTCAATGGAAGGACATCAAGCCACATTCTTTGGTGTATGGCCATAAGAAAATTTAAATTTGATGAACAGATTCACAGGGAATTTCCGGATCAGAGTTTTTATGAGTTGAAGTGACCGAGATGCCCTCGTTCGGATGCGTGCCCAGGCAAGCAAACTGTTGTGCAAGCGGCTGTTCTGAATTCGATCAACCTCCCTCGTTCAGTGTGCTGCATAAAAATGACATAAAGACAGAAAACTCGAACGGAAACAGGGTGACCAAACTTACTGAATGCAAACAACAGACAGGCTGATCGCTTGACTGTTTGTTCGCGTGTGTAGTCATGAGAAATTAAGCGTTTCTCATTCGGTCAGTAGTTCACGGGGGATCGATAAAATTGCAAAGCGGGTTTCCTGATACGATTTGCCTTACACATACACACACACACACACATGGAAAATACTTGGCTTCATTCGCAGATTCAGGGAACAAAAACGCAAGTATATGAAGCAGATTGAACAGTTCTTTTGGCAAATGGACCTTACTTCAGTTCGGCTTATACTGGTACTACTATTACCACTATTACTACTTCTACTGATATTAACAGCACGGGATCTTGTTCCACTACTTTCTTTCGACTTCTGTATAGACTTACAGGCATATTATTGGGAAATATTCTGTAAGGACACCAAAGTCACGTACGTTACGGCTAATAGCATCTAACCTACCAACAGAACACCGAATTATAATAATTGTTCATTAATAGAGTGGTTCCGAAAGGCCTCTCCTGTCGAATATATATATATATATATATAACACTTGTCTGAGTCCAGGTTGTATCGAGACTGTAACGATGCAAAGGCTTTCTTTATGACAAAGAACTCCATCCATGATTTGTCCGCGGGCGCCACATTGCCTCGTTCCACGTGAGTGGTCTTGTCAGGGATTCGCAACCGACGCTTCCGGTCAGACAAAGGCTAAACTTGCATATACGAATTCCCTCAGCAGAGATTTATAAAGTGATCGCGCATACAACCTGAATTTATTTATCAACGTTATTAGATAACTGAACGCGGTTATCATTATAAGTGTACTACGTCCAGATGGGCTGGTCACGTGCTTGGATCGATTCGCGCCTGACCTTGATTTCGATTGACCCCCATTTGGGTTGAGCAATTTCACCACCGAGTGCTGTTTTGAATCAAAGGTGAGTACTCGCAACCAATGAGCGTTCAGTCCTGAACCTTTCGCGATCATAATGCATTAGTAATAATGATAATATTAATACTAACTAAGCATTTGAAATTCATGCAAGAGAAAACTTTGCAGAAAGGTGAGAGTATTACTCCTACTACAAATCTGTTAATCTATCATATTGTATGTCGGCATTCCTCTGCCACTGTGGTACGTTAGAATAATCTAACAATGCACTTCAATTCCCACTCGAACCCCGACCAACCACTCTTCATACTCTACGTCCGTGACCGTTTCAGCCCCTGCGTTTAGATGTTCCCACACCCATTGTGCTAGAAACGCAAGAGCTGATCCAGTCTGCTGCAGGCAGTTCAATCTTCAAATCCGCAACTGAAGCTGCGCTCAGTATGGTCCAGGCTCAGGTCTCAAAACTAGCTCAGGAGATCCGCCACGGTGAGTTGAATCCGCATCTGTGTTTTCGGGTGCAAGTTTTGGCGCATATGTATACATATGCTTTAAATGTGGATATCTTTCCGTTTCCCACTGTGCGACCAGACCTGGTTAAGATATCGAGATGAGTGACGTGAAGAGCGTAAATTCAGACCGTTTTGTCACATGTGATCACTGGCAAAGATTCTGTACAGAAATCCATACGCACGTGACTGTGGCAGTCTGCAAAATGGTACTGATAATTTCATTTAGACATCTTTGAAACTTCTGAGTAATATCTCACCAAGAGCGTTTTGCTGAAGTTACGGAGAATGGATTGTTGAGGAAGAGAGGGATAGGGTCGGCTATCTGAATGCATCTCTATCAGCCACTTTTGTCTCTGATGTCATTGCAAAAACAGACTGTGTGCATATTTCCAAACGTAGTCACAATCAAGCGGTCGAGATATAAGTGGCGATTGATCATCGCTCGCCACTCGGGATTTCACGTGGCGAAGTTCAACGTATCACAGAAGCCTCAGCACACTCGCTTTCCTGCATCATCTGGCACGTACATGCTCCACGTACAACGGATTTTTAAGACTGGAATATGTGTTCCAAACACTGCTAGAACATCACTGTATCTCTAAAGCAAGTTGGAGCAGTTAACTGGTGTATTGTGGAACCGTTTTACACGCATTCCTACTCCCTCTTTTCCTATGTACACGAGTTTTGCAGAACTGTTCGCGTAAATGATGATCTGGGACTATTGTCTGACCCAGTCCAACTAGAATCCGCCATCTTGTGCCCCACTGAAGTCGCTGGCACTTTGCTTGTGGATAAAACGTAAAAACAATTATCCATCCCTGATCAGGTCAGACACGTGATGGCTTAGACATCACAGGACGATCTGACCACAAAGGCAACCACAATACCATGTGACTTATCGATCTGACTCAACCAATACTTCAAACGAACAACCAGATATGAAACTTATATCACATTGGATCGGTCGCAAATTGATTAGAGTTTCAAGCACTGGTGAACTGCGTCTAATCATACTGATTCTTTTCGGCTCAAAGAGCGTCGTGGTTCAACGGCATGCATCGCAGGTCATCTATATCACATGTTTGTGAATCAGTTATTTTGGTTCATATAATGTGGACGCCGATTTGATTTACTTTCATGTAAACTGATCTCACAAAACCAGCATACTACTACTCGACCTGTGACGTGTGTCCACACACACACATACACGCACACAATAATCTGTATCGTCAGTGAAAATCAATATCAGTACTTCGGATTTCCGCCGAAGACACCAGTCCGGTGCGCTAACTTGTGCATCTGTGATTATCATTGACGACATAATTCACAATAACAGAGTGAGACAGCAGCAGCAGCAGCAGCAGCAGCAACAACAACAACAACATGAGGGATAAAGCGAAGACAACACGGAAGTCGAAAGCCACATGGGTTTTTCATTATCCAATCGAGCTATTGACAACTCTTCTTCCGCTTCTTCTTCGGAACATGGGCCTGGTTTCTACCCACTTGGTACTTGGCACATAAGACCTCGTGTTTCATGGGACGAATGATCAGTCAAATAGAAAAAAGGACTAAACAGCACCCAGAGGCGTCTGTGAATGCGTCCAAATAGTGTGTGTTCGGGAGAGAGAGAGAGAGAGACGGAAGAAGTTCGCATCATCATCATCACCACCACCGCCACCAACACCACTACCGTTCCTCGCGGGACTGATGATAAAGGACCAAAGAAGAGGTCAAAGCTAATTAGGTTAAGTACCTAACCGGTTCAAAATCAATTTGGTTACTGGGAACTAGCGATGTATTTTTATTTTTTTTTTAACGATGAATTTCGCCTTATGTGCAACGAAGAAAACGTTAAGTGAAGTGAAGTGCTCCAACCTAGTTACGGTATGGTCATTATCCAATTGATACCGGAACTCTGTCTGTAAGATGATTGAGTGAGCGGAGTTAGATGCCCACAATGGGCTTGCAAAGGCCGGTTTCGCTCTGTTGTGTATAAAAAAAACCGTTAAACTGTCGGATCACTTGCACAAATGCAGTATTTTTGTTTTCAGATTATGAGATCCTCGGGTCGATGGATCTGAACTGTTTATGAGACCCACTAAAATTGAAACTACTGTACTATATGTGCTTCGAAGCGCTCACAGTTCCCATTTCCTCTCCTCTATATACAACCGTATTTGGGTGCAACTTTCTACATTAACAATAAAGATAATCATGGTGGATAATAAAAAGGGGTAATCAGGCAATCGACTATTAGAAATCTATCTTGATTTTAACAACTATTCGATCGAGATGGCTTTGTTGCTTTTTGGCACATCAAGGCATGGTCACATGGAAGCCCCCGGAACCGGTTAATTTGCTTCTTCCTCGTAATCGGGACGAGGAATTGGTTGTGTTTGAACTCTGCTTGGCCGCGCGATTCCAATCCTTGTACCAGACAGCCTGTGAAGGTGCACCGTGTGCCACGGCGAATGGAGGTTCCGCCTCGTCGTTAACCACAACTGGCTCAGTCGATGCCGGGAGCGGTACCGCTGGTGGTGGCAATCCAGCCCTGGGCGACGGTTATGGGGCTGCCACACAGGACCAAACTGCAATGGCTTTATGTCTAGCCTTGGCCACTGCCTACCGATATTTGTCTATTCCAACGAGTGCCGGTACCGGAGGTGGCATTCAAGGTGGTTTAGACAACCAGGATTCATCCTCAGCTGGATCGGGCGCAGGTTACTCATTTCGGAACAGCCTATTTGCTCGGTAAGTTAATAATTTTCACTTTACCTTTTCGGAGCTTGTTTTCTCCACCACCACTACAGCCACCACTGCCACCATCAACACCAACACCACCATATACGGGTTCAGCTGTCATCCACTTCTCCTACATTATTGTCCATAGCCGTGTTCAAATAATCATGTAACTGTCCCGTGGTACGGCAATAAAACAAAATCTCTTAACTTTTTCTTCCAACTCCGATCTTTCTATTCTTTCTTTCTTTGAGTGTCCAGTTTGATAGTTTAGGAAGCAAAATTCTGTGAATCGCAGGCAATTAGAAAATAACGGATAATCATTATTTGTTTCCATTCCGCGGTATCTCACAATTCAAACGAATCGGCAGCAAACGGTTCACTGACACTCCCTGTCAGACACACGGTCTGAACGTCGTAGTGGAACATTCAGTTGACTGGTTTAGCCATAAACGTGACGGATTGACAGTGGACGACTCACCGTGAACTGTATCTAACGTTCGCTAATCGAGCGGGATGTCGGTCATGTATGAGAAATACATGAGACGAAGTAGAACTCGGGAAATAACGGAGCTGTTTCCGTCCAATTTTGAACCTTAGTACTCTGTTTCTACTAGTTGTGCTCTCAAAACGTCCAATTTGTATGCAGACCAGTTAACTTACT